TAAAAGATTAAAATAATGGATAATTTAACATCAATGCTCGTCATTATGAATGTGTACAAAGATGATGTGATAATATAAAAACTAGAGTCAAGCTTTATTTCTGTCACAATATATTGCGTAAGTAGATGCTATCACAGAATTGATTAAGCTAAATCTAAAATCGTCACGCCAGTTTATTTTAGTTTGAGATAAATTGAAAGAATCATAAAGTCCTATTGGCGAAATTTCAAAAGTGTTGATTAAAGTATTGCAATGCTTAAAATCATTCGATAGGTATTTTTGAGGTTGTTCTTGTACTTATCCACTTTGTAGTTTCTTGATTTGGTGTAATTGGTTTCATGACAGACTGTTAGTTCCAGTATTTCAATCGTTCTTTTGTACCAGATTACTATGTCTGGTCTGAGCGAGGTGAACAGTTGCGACACAGGGCGGAACGATTCTTCTTCGATATCCGCAAAAATGATTGCTCCAGGCTCGATGCATGATTTGATGTTGTTTAAGATGATGGCAAGTATTTTATTGGGGCGATTTAAGTACCTAGCGAGTGCAGATGGCGAACCACAGTTTGATACTACATGCTTATTTGTTTCCTTGGCGTTACAGAGGGAGCATGCTGCGTTGTTCGTTTTTTTCCATTTGACTAGGTTAGCGTTGGTTGGTAGTTGTTGAATGAGATATTTCCTTGTGAATTTGTATAAAACTTCTGGCAGGGATTTTGTTGCATTAGCCCAACGGGTGATAATACTAATGATAATGATGATGGTGATAGTGATGATGATAATGATGACGATGATATAAATTTAAACGACTTTTAATTCAACCGTAAAAACATTCAATAAAAAAATAATGTTAGTCTAATAATAACAATAACAACAACAACAACAATAATAATAATAATAATGTAAATAATATGAAGGGAGCTGAATAAAATAAAGTGAAGTAATGTGATGGGATGGTATCTGTCGTAGTTAAATGTAATAATGCATATATTGACATAATAATGACATTATTATGAATACGGTTCTCCATTGTTGCTTAAATACACAGAGGTTTCACCACACACACACACACACACACACACACACACACACACAAACACACACACACACACACACATACGCACACCTACACAAAAACACAGACACACAAGCACGCACGCACACACGCACACACGCAGCGTAAATGAATACACAGAGAATGAACGCATCACGCAAGCGACGCTTGGACTATCTAA